AAAAAGAATGAGGAGCTGACTGCTCTGATGCAAAAGGCAGTAGAATGCCTGGATGAGAAGAAAACCATCCAGATTGATGAGCTCCCTCATGAGTACCATGTGCAAAGGGCTCGGATTGTTGCTAGAGGTGTTGGCATTTGCTCCTCATGCAGATTTGAATCAGGCTGCTTGAGGTGTGATGAGGCTAAGTGCCTTGCATACTGGATGAGGAGGGAGCATAAGAGATCTGGCAGGCCCATTGATGCTAAGTATCAGCTGGGCAAGGCATGAGCAAAGACTCAGACCTCCTCGATAAGCTGAAAAAGAGTTGAGCAGCATGTGGGAATGAGCAGCATGTGGGAATGAGCAGCATGTGGGAATGAGCAGTGTGAGGTGAGAGTTGCTGAATTAGCTGTATGAGTTGAGAGTCCATGAGTTGATTGATGAACCTCCCTTAGTTAATGAATTAATTAAGGAAACAATTATTTTTTTTTCTGGTTTGTGTGGGCTCGGATTAACTGGGGGGGGTTTCTGATGCCCAACTAGAACATTAGGGGGGGAAATAGGCACGAATAATACTTTTAATTTGGGCAATTTCTGGTGGGTTTGTGTGGCCGGATTAACTAGGGGAGGTTTATTAATCGTAGCTTGACATTATATATGGATTATATATTAGATAAGTTCCATATTCCAAAATGGTTCAAAGAAAGCTTTTGGATGGGCTGTGAGGTGATGTTGATACATTGTTCTATTGAGTAAGCTGGGAAAATGACGACCGACCCGTGATCTTCTTCGAATGAAGACCCCTCACGGGCTGAATCATGCGCCCTGCAGGGTCGAACTAATAGGTGTCTACGCTGGTGGATGTTGGAGTTATGGTGGGTCGATGCGACGGTCGTGTGAATCCTAAGGAGATGGTGGCTCTATACGGAATCCCCATCTTAAAAGAAATCTGGGGCTTCATGCGTTTGTTTTTTACAGTTGACACCACTGGAATAGTTAAGCATAGCTTGGGAGTTCACGAGCACCTGCAAGACATGTTCCAACGCTCTTCCTCGCAGTTGGACCCACATGGACTGCAGTTGCTGTTGTTTCTTTGTGCTCACGGGTCGCATACGGTTCGCCAAGTCCACCTGAACCTCCACCTCTAGTTCAACTCACGTAGCTGTAATGCCAGATGGTAGCTGTAAGGCCAAAGCGAGCTCGCGTAGTACTTCTAGTAGCTAATTGCGTAGTACTTCTAGTAGCTTCTTGCTCCTAGTAGTACGGCCAGGAGCCCCTAGTAGCGTCTTCGCTCCTAATAGCGATGCCCTTTGCTCCTAGTAGCTTCTTGCTTCTAGGGTTTAAGATGGTTTAAGCATCCGGATTTCGCCAAGTCCACCCCACGTAGATTGCACTCCCTGGAATAATCATGGAAGTGGAACACCACCTATTTGTAGAGGAACATGGTCATCCAAGGGGGGCCATGCAATCCATTTCCATACTTCCATGACTATTCCAGGGAATGTAGATTGAACAATTCACTGCCATTGAATTCTCCGACAATTATATAGCTCAGTCCACCCGACAGGCTCAGCAAGTGTGTTTACATGTCTTGTCATTGTGGCGACCCCCGCGCGACAGGTGTGCACATGTCGATCCCACTATTGACACTCCATTCTCCCACACAAGTATCTCAGTATATGTCAGTCCACCCGACAGGCTCAGCAAATTTCTTGACCAAAATGTTTAAATTCCTGGACCAAATTCCTACAAATACCAATGTCCAAGAATCCAGTCGCTCCCACTGCGCTCCCATCGCTCCACCAATCCAAGCTTCGGCAGCTCCAGCGACTTCCCCTCCGCCTCCACGGCCTCCAGCGCCGACTGCAGCGGCAGATCGGCGGAACGTCGCGAGTCCGGCGGCAGCAAGGCATGACAAAGCCGTTCGAAGGAGGGCCGCAAGGCACCACGAGCCTGGTGCCATTGGAGGAGAAGAGGGGCACTTGTGGCACACCAAAGGGGAAATGCATGGAAACATCTTGATACAGTGGCAAAACCGGTGAAATTGCAATGTTTGCCATATTTTGCCATTTGCATCCATTTGCCATCATCTATCACTTCATAAGTAAGTAGTCATGTGTCACATGTCATGTCAGGGATTATGATGTGGGGTCCTGGGCCCCTGATGTCTATTACTTCGCGAAGGAAAGGAAGCACAGGTCTGACCGAATGGGTCTTCTTAGGTCCGGTGCAACACGGGGACATACAGGAACTGTTGGTCAAAACATGTCAAACAAATACAACTAGTGGTCATCATCCAAACTGTGTGCAGGTTGAAACCTGCCTACTGGTTTCCTGGCTGTCTGGATCTGTCTGGTGGCGTCTGGAAGCAGTAGGAATCTCGGACTTTTTCCAATCCCAACATCTTCCAACAGCATCTCCATTCCGTCTTCTCCGCTCCACCGAGCACCTGCTTGGGCTCCAGGAGCAGCACCTGCGAATCCACCCGCGGCGGTGGCTGGAAGAGCTCCGGCCCCAAGCGATCGATGAGCACCTGGTGAGAGGTTCGGCTGCAAGGTTCGGGAGAGCGAGCGGATCTGGGTCATCCTGGATGGTTATCTGGGTCGTCTATCCCAGTCTCACCTGGGTCAGGTTGAATCTAAAGCATGCAGATCCACAAAACCCTGTCAAAGAAGCGACAGGCACCCCGAAAAAAACATAACTATCACTGTTGCACCAGTTTCTTCGCAAACGCCTAACTGACTTCACCTTCCAAGTCCAGGCCGCTCACCTTCCGCATTAAACCATGTCCTCGCGCCTGGGAGGTGCAAGAGGCAGCACAAAGGGCTGACAAAGCGGTAAACTTGGAGCTGCCTGACGCGTCGTCCGCGTCCGCGTCTCGTTGGACCGCCGCGGGGGGGAGTCGTTGTCAGGTCAGATGCGACCTTGGACTCGGAAGTAGGGACCAGATCCCTTTTTGTTGGGGGGAGGTACGGCCTCTGGGTATTGAATCAATATGAGTGCAAGGGATGACTATTTTGAGGATTGGCATGGTTTCTGATCTCGTAGTTGTATCTACAAGCATTTACTAGCCTAAAGAGAATCTCAGAAAGACCCCAGCCCAAAACGAAGGTAACATGTTGATGAAAACCCCCCCCATTTGGAGTATTAACTCCATATTGATGGTTATATGCATCAACCGTCTACATGTTCCTCCCTATCGACAGACTTCCATCATCTTCCATCCAGCATCCGGTCGTCACATGTCCTGCATCCGAACGCTTCCTGCCTGGCTTGGCCAAGAGCTTCTGAGCGAACTCTTTCTGTAGCATCAACACCTCGGATCCACAGTCCAGCCTCTCCAACCACCCCCCCCAGAGTGCCCCTTGGATCCTCACCTCCGCGTGGATCCGGACAGCTGCCGGATGACTTGGTATCCACTGAGAAGTCTGGGAGGAGTGAGAAGGAAAGAGAGCAGGGGTCAGCTGGTCCACTTTAGATCTTACTTCGAGGCCCATTTCACCTCTGTTTTGATAGGACAAAACCACTTAAGGGGGTGGAGGTGGACCAAAGGTAGGTCAAGAAGTTCAACTTTCAGACAGGTAAGTCGAAATAAGCAGGTGAGTCAAAAGCGTATGCGTAGCGCCTGCGATGAGAACATCTTACTACCGGGATTCCGATGATGCGCGATCCAAATGTGCACTGGAACATCCATCCTCTGCGTTTGGCAATCACGAGAAGGATCAGTGCGGCATATACACCACACACCCGGCACACGAAGTGACAAAACAACACATTTGGAACCAGCACATCCACCAAAATGCAAGTTCTGTGTTTGAGGGGAATGGTCAAGCTGCGTTCTGTGCTTGTTCTTCGAGCGTGAAAGAGATCCTGTCGCTTGACAAAGCGAAAACAGGTGAAACCGTTTTCTACTGTTACATTTTACTAAGGCCCCAGGGTCCAGGTACCTCTTTAGGATGGTTTTGGAGGTGAGTTCGTACTTCCAAAGAATGGTCGAACTGGGGCCAAAGGACAAGCTCAAGAGGTATCTGGACCCTATGGGAAAGGGAAAAAGACCAAGGATCACTCCAAACGGCCCAGGCCGAGTGTCCATCCGCCGCAAAGGCGGGTCCTGCCGCAGGAAGTGTCGTAGCAACGCACTGCTGATGCCATAGGGGAGGTTCCCAACCAAGGTCTGGCACTGCAAGGGAATCTGGCACGTCAACACGTTGCCTGCAAGGGAATCAAGGCATGCGCGTCACAACATGTTCGGCAGGTCCCAAATCTCTCGCCCGATCCTTTCTTGCGTGGACCAGCGGCAGGTTCTCCGTGGTCGCCCAGGCTATCTAAAAACTGAGACAGAGTTGAAAGGGGTTTCCTTTCACTCTTCGCATAACCTGTGCCAACCAGTATCAGAATGACTCTATGAGACCATAGATGACTCTGTAAGACCCCCTCAAATGTCCAAGTTTCGAAGGTTGATGGCCTTTGCAACCATTCAATTCTATCCAACAGCCCATTGTGCACACTTTTTTTTGGGGGCTGAATAGATTGAATGGATGTCAGGATTCCTCAAAACCAGCCCCTTGCCACCCAATTCACCATCCCTCCAAACCTCACTCGCACTTGCTCAGCTAGCTGCCCAAATCAGTCGATAAGTGTATTGCTCTGACTCTGGGCAAGTTCAGGCCAAGGCTTCTAGCGCAATGCGCAAGCGAAAGCCTTCCAATGTCCAGAGGAAACACTTTCCACCACACACGCAAGCTCATCCACCCAGACCCCCTCCGACACCGAGCTTTGCGCCAGCCTTTCAGGATCACACACCGCAGCCGGCTGCCCTCGCTTTCTCCGTCGCTGAGCTTCGCGGCCCAGTCTGCTCGAGTGCAGCTCTTTGCGTCCTCCGTGAGGTCGTAGCATTGGGCGCGGTGACGATGGAGCTCGCCGCCCTTAGAGAAGCCTGCGTGCGTTTCTTTTGGTGGGCTTGCGCAAAGGCGCGGTTCTTTTCTTTGTGGGGTTGGAAAGGTTTGGGAAAAGCTTCAAGGAGTTCAAAGGGCTGTAGGTGGGGTGAACATACACACAAGCGACGGATCTGCTGAAGTTATTACGGTGTCCAAGTCAAGTGGGAAAAAAAGTTCTTGCTTCAGCCACCCATGAGATCCCCCAATCATAGACTTTTAACGCTGCAGCCCCGCTGCAGCCCCGGGTTCTTCAGGATTAAATCCTCGCTCTTTTAGTGTTATCATTGCCCCTGCACCCGCCCCAAAATTTCAAGAAATTACAATTCAACATATGTCTAAGAACAATACCTACAAACGAAACAACAGGTATATTATTAATTATTATGGAAATCAATTTACATCTTCTCTCTCTCTCTCTCTTTTCTGGGCCTTCTTTGAGGATCTCCTCATCAATTTCAAAGCCCACCACGCCGCCACTCTTCGACGTCGATCTCAATCGCTTCAACAAGGCGCTGGTGAGCACGCCAGTGCCCACGCCAATCTCTGCCACCTCGGAGCGGCCAGGAAGGGTGAATCCTGAGAAATCCACCTGTCAGCCACCCAAAGCAGCAACGAAACTGAGATGATAGATGATAATACTGCAGACTTCCAAATTGATATTTGTTTTGATGGACATCTAGGGATCTCAATGATTCTTGCTGACCCAACATGTCCAAGACCATGTTGAAGAAACACATCAAAGAAACGGTGTGTTGATATAGAGCGTCATTGGGAAGTTTGAGGCCAACTTTTCACACTACAAGGTTTATGGTGTCATCCTCATCATCAGCACTGAATCGCCCTCTTTCGATCAAATCATCAAATCATCCCACTACTAATGCTTGATTGATCCCCCAGCAACAAGCATATTATAAAATGTATTAAAAAACAAAACACATATACTTGAAAACATTTATCATGAAAACAAAACAATCATACACTTCAAGGACCCACACCACTCCAGGAGTGCGGAGAACGAGCTGGCTATTGTGTCCCAGGTACCCAGCGGGGCTCCGTGTGTTCACGGCTACGGAGTGCAGCGGCTGCGATCTGCTCGGCTACGGAGTAGGACTGCAAACGGTGCTGACCCCAGCCTGCCAGGCAGGGGAGGGGTATGCGGATGTCCACGGATGCTGACGGGTACGTAGTCAGGGTGTAGGTGCGGGAGGAGGCATATATTATATTATGTATATACAGCATAACTAACCGATACCAGGACACCCGGACCAGGGGCTTCTATTGATATCCACTTAGCTTTGATTCGGGATGTCCATTAACCACCACGACAATAGGTCCTCGTTTTTTCATGGAACGGTGGGATCCCGGAGTGGAAAATAGAGGTTCCCTTTGGCCCAAAAGGATTTCTTGAGGTCAATCAGCCCATCCTAGCCTAAGTTGGACTGGGAGCTCCGGGTCTTGCGGTCCCTTTGGTCTCCTGGTCCAGCGGCAATCGTTTTGCTGCGGGAAAACGTGTGAAGTGGTGGATGGACGTATAGATGGATTGAAGCTGATGGATTGGAGGTCTGATGATCACAAATGGATCATGAATCATGTGATCCCCTGGTAGATGGATTGAAGGATTGAAGTGGTAGATAGATTGGTAGATGGAACCCAAGATCTTTGGATGGTCACCTTGCCATCAAATTTTCGATTTCGCTGTTGGTCCCACTCCGATAAACAGCTCTTGAGAAAACTACAAGCAATACTGGTTCATACCTGTTCCAAAGGAACTCAATAAGTAACCCGAGTACAGGACTTGGCAAAAAGCCTGCAGATTCTATGTCTACATGTCTGCATGGGGTGGAGCACAAGGTGATGTATTAAGAAACACTGGGCGGCTTTCCCAGAACATCCTCCCCCTCCCCGTTTTCCAAACACGCCGAAAATCCAAGCCGCGGGGCGCGGTCTCCGAAGGCGCACGTGCCAAGGTGGCTGCAGTGTCGTGCACAGATCCTCGGCTTCGAATTGGCTGCCAAAATTGGATCAGTGAAGAACCTATAGGACCTATAGGAGCGCTAAGAGGTGAGTGGTTCAGTGTTCACCACAATCCTGAACCTAAGTGGTTTCACAGAACCTGATTGATCCTAAGATATCCTAATGTTAGAATAAGTGATCAGTGTTCTTATATTTTCTGAGGATCCTTCAGTGTGCTGATCAGTTTTTCAGATCCTAGGAGCCTGTAAGATCAGATCCTTCGGTCATGAAAAAAAAAACAACTGTACAGTGTTTTCCAAGCATCCAAGTGAGTTGAGATTGACTCCCCTTCGACCCATAAGGTACAACCAAAGGTCCCAAAGTCGGAGACTTTACCAAGGTTTTCCAGTCACGTCCGATTAGCAGCACCATGATCATGGACCCCTGATTTGAAGCAAACATGGACATGCACGTCCATCGACCGAGTCAAGTCTTACAGTGTCGGTGAACGCTGTCAGGGACGTTGGGAGCTGAATTCGGGGCTCGCCAAGCTCTGGGTGAAGCTCAAAGAAACATGGCTTGGCCCCGGTGCCGGAACTTCCGAAGCCACGCCCGCGACCGAAAGCCGAGAAACTTCCGATTTCCCTGCGACCCGAAAGCCGGTCGCAAATTCGGAGGTCCTCTGGGGGCTTCCTCGGGGCCATCCAAGAGGATCCCAAATAATGGGACTGCCATATATTTGCCTATACATTGACCCTCAAAACCACCCCTGGCCTGATCGGCCGTCCTATGTCAGCTCCCATTCCTCGTGTCGGACGAAACACCGGGGCCATCGGAAGCCGGTGCCGTTCCGAACGCTCGCGGCAGGCGCTCCAAGTCTCCAGGAACCGAACTTCCGCACTTGGGGCACCCCAAACGCCGTTGCAGATGGTCCCGTGGCCTGCGAGGAGGTCCCCGACTACGTCGCTGGGCGCGACGTCTGTCGCGACACCGAGCGCGAGAGTCTCTGGATGTGTTGGGTGGTTTGAGGGTTCACGGCCACGCATGTGACGCGACCACAGCTCTTAGCAAGCAGCTCATTACAAAGGAGGGGCGGTGATGTCTCGTTTGTTGGGGAAAATGCAAGCAGCTTTGCTGCAAACCAATAAACACCGATGGCCCTATCAAGCGCCTCATCCGAAAGATGCCGTGCAGCGGGCACCGGATGAGCACAGGGGTGTGGTTGTCTTGATACTTGGCCTTGGTGCAAGCCGTACGCTGTATGGGCCGGATGGATCCTTCCATATCCTTCCTGATCCCTCCAGTCGCGTTTCAAGCGAAAGATGAAGGGTACACAAGATGAGTCCAAGGGGGTACACAACATGTCTATGTCGCATGTCGCATCTGTCCTTCACAACTCGCATGATCCCTCCTTCACAGGACTGGCTGGCTTTTCGGGGATTCCTAGGAAAAATCACGAATGGACTGGACAAGGCTTCATTCAAGCACTCTTGATTGAAGATTGTAGGTGAACAACGATGAACAAAACAGACAATATATCCAATAATTGGTATATAGTCTTAAAACACACACACACAAAAACAAACAGATTCCCCAAACAATGATGAATGATTGAACATATATACAATTGGTCGTTGGTCGTCTAAATAACACACGCAAACAAATTCCCCCAACGCGAGTGTCACCCAGTACCATCCTCCAACACGCAGGAACTCTTCAGCCTTTGTCCGGTCCAAGCGAGCGAAGATCGCTATCAGGTCGACTCTCTTGATTGGTAGAAACCCAAGTGATTTGGATTTAAAGCAACCTATTTGGATTCAAGCTGGATTGAAACATATGTTGATTAGTCAAAATCCTCCCTCTATTTGGATTGAAAAAAGATCTCTTCATATGCATCTAAATCTGATCCTCAAATCCTCTCCCTCCATTTGGATTGAAATTGACAAACACCTCAAGCTTGGGGGGGGTTGAGGAATCAAGAGTCTATACTATATATATATACATTTACTGCCTTCCCAGGTTTCCCATGTTTTCCCAGGTGGCGGTGGAGTAGTCATAGAGATTCCCCCAAATCCGCGCGCAATCTTCCCGGAAGGCCTGGGGTTGACAATGGCGGTTTCCCAAACCGGACCGGACAGGTGCGGTGACTCCCAAGGAATGAAGGGACATGAAGGGACACTGGAGACTTCGGTTTGGATTGAGTTCACTTTTGATACCCTGGTGACTTCGGTCACGAACAGGCCAACAATCACAAGGTCACTTGAAGGGACTGAGAAGGTCCTGGTTCGTTGCTTTCTGTGTCAGGGCACTTTATATGTATGCTCCCGGCAAGACCTGCAAAGATGGCGGGTGAATGAGGACATGGTCATTGGAGATTGTGACAGAACACCAGGGAACATCCCCACCTCAACATGGAGGGCTCCTGTGCGGAGCCCTGGAGATGCGATCTCAAAATGATTACGAATCATTACACCTCACGTCTGTGTGCTTGTTTGAAGCATTGGACTGTGCTGTTGACGCCCTTGTGGCAGCCTCAAGGGTGGAAGCCAGTAGTCTGAGGCCACCAAATGCCATCAGTATCTCTTAAAGATTTTGTTTGCTTTTGTTGATGGTAAATGGATGATAGGGGTATCTACACAATTCCTCTGGCAGGTGCTGGAACGACTGGGCAATATTTATATGTCATTTAGTCTGGTCCTTCAATAAGAATAGGTGTCAGCTTTCCCCACACTCAGAATTTCAGTGATCTGCTGGATCCCTTTTCTTTTCTCCGTCCATGGCCCGATAAATTATCGGCTGCAGCAGTCACTTAGACCCCATTGGACCCTTAGTGACCTTGCATCCCTCATTTTTCGACAAGTCTTGCCTGCTTTCTTCGGCCTGGATGAAGACGATCCAACCTTGGACAACGAGTCTCCCACCCACACGGCCCCCCGTGCAAAGCTGGTGATTCGAAGCGGTCCTTGTTGGGAAAGAAATGCAAAGCCTGCAATGTCAAAGCTTTCGATGTTCACAAGGACAACACCTCAACACATTGGATCTTTCCTTCGTGCCCTGAACAAATCACCAATAACAGCATGTTCAAAAAAAAACGTTTGAGAGCCTATCCCTACATTGTTGCATGCCTTTCTAGGCATATAACCACACTCCTTTCTGACACAAGACCAGGCCAACAAAAAACAACCTCAAATTCTCATGGAACCTCTCTCCCCCGATCAAGGCACTGTTTCAGCGAGGTCGTGGCGAAATCCCCTCGTGTAGATGAACTCGCTCGCACGCCGCGGACCGGTCTGGTGATCGCAGTGACCGCACCGTGCACCATCCGCGAGCCACGCATGGGTCCAGTCGGTGCGAGGCCACGGGTGGGTTCATCATGAGCGCTGCTGTTGAAAGGTACTGCTGTCATCCTCCACAGCTACACGTCAACAGTGCTGCTGTTGTGGGGTCTCTGACTGCGGAACAACTCGCGGATCAAATTCACTTGCAGCTAGCATGCGTTGAGCAATCAAGGTGCGGTCTTTCAAAACCAATGTCACTTCAACTCCTGGTCAAGTTGATCTTGATTCCTGCAACAGTTTTTTTTCTTGGTCAAGTGCCTGCTGATATAAGAATGTGTGGATGTGGGTCACAGTTGAACAAATCCAAAAACGCAATATGTTTAAATGTGTTAAACATATTGCAAACAAATCCAAGCAAACCATACAAAAGACTTCTCTGGGTACCGGTAAACAGGCTGCGAAAGAAAGGCTGCGACCAAACACAACTCTGCAATGACAACAACCACAATGGCAACACACCTTTTGCTCATTCATTCCGGCTACGTTAAAAAAAAAAACACACACACAACACAAAACACTTAAAGGAACATATCCAGGAATTGAACCTTTGCCCCCCCCAAAAAAAACAACTGACTCAGGAATAGATTTTGTTTAACTAACACGAAACCGTTGAAGTGTTTCAATCTGGTCAGTGGGGTCTCGTCAGTTGTGCTGTTTGCTGGAATTCATTGCCATGACTTGGGTTCTTTCAACTCACAGATCCACTGGTCTCCATCCGTCACCGGTCTCCTGCCTCCAGGTCATTCCTCGTCACCAATTCAAAGGTCTCGTTGGAGGGGCCGGACTTCAAGGAGGCCTGGGCCGCAGCTTTCGCGAACCATTTAGATCACTGCGACGGCTTGATCTGCTTGGCGTGCAAATCCAGCAAAACCTGTTTGTTCCGATGTTTTGGGGGGCAACGGGCCGCGTTGACACGTAAGAATATCTGGTGGCTACACTGGCCCCGTACATTACGGGTTTCCGTTGCACCTTGTTATACACCAACAAACACTTTAAAACCACAAGTAAGGAAGTGCATTGTATTAGGATGCCGGAAATGGGACAAATCCAATCGAACATTCATCCTAAATGTATTCACAGGGGAAAGGGTTGCGCAGGTCTTTCGGATCGACGTTGTAACTTTCCTGTATGTCTGCTACAACATCAGTTGCTGCTACTGCCACTGCTACTACTGCTACTACTACTCCTGCTGCTGCTGCGGCGGAAACGGACAGCCGGGAGGTATGCACATTCTGGATCATCATTAGACAGCACCACCCTGCCAAATTGCAGCGAGGCCCCAGCTTTGTAAAGTCCAGGGTCGCCACGTACCTGCGTGCCCAGCAAGTCACAAATACAGCACGTGCACAGGAATATTGAACTGTAAATGCCTGGATGTTTACAACATCACCAACCCACCTCGTGCATGTGAAGGTTTTTTTGGGATGTTGGGAACCTCGTAATCTATGCAAACCCCTCACCAGTCCGAACTTGATTGAGGCCACCGCGCTGTGCTCACACCCTACATGTTTGACTTCAACAAACTTGTCTGTGCGCCTACCTTCAAAGCGCCTGCTGATTTTTGTTCGCAAAGCCTGACCTCTCATCGAAGGTCGGAATTGTGATCGCCTGTGGATCTTCGGCTGGCCTTCAAAGGCCTACTCAAATGACACTAGTAATTATATATACAGTATCTAAAAATAGGGTTGCTTATGGTGACAGGAAGAGATACAGCAATTCAATTCGTACAGCAAGATTCCCCCCTTAAGCGGCGAGCACCCACTGGTGCGAAACAATCCCTGTTCTCAAGCACATTCATTGACTTATATGTGATGTGTGATGAGCAGGGCGCAAGACCAACCAACCAAGACAGGGTATCGATACGCTTTGATTCTCTCAAAACGGTGGACAAGTGGAGGCGGGGCATTTTACACCCATCTTGTATGCTGTGCGACGCTGGATATTTCGGACAGTGAGCCTGCAAAAAGCGACAGCTCCGACGAAAGATAGCCGGATCGTTGTCCACAAACACGCCAAACGCGCCCGTGGAAACTGAACCAGCAGCTTGGGGTTCCGCAACAACAAAACGATCCCCGCACACTCGGGTTTCCCGATGCGTACGAATTGACTGCGGTTTGCCACACGCCAACCTCAGCATGTAAAACCTAAGAAGCCAGGGTTGATAGTATGTAAAGGATCTAACCATGAGAACTTCCAGAAGCCTCCAAGTTCCAGCGAAGTCTGAAAGCAAAGACTGCCGTGAGTGCACCGCTGCTAGGTCCAGAAAATTTGTACTAGCTAGGAACGAGGCCCAGAAGGCGGTCTACTAAGTAGGTAGGGATCATGGCACAGCAGGTGCATCCGGCTGATCAGGCCAGGTATCAGCACGGAGCTTGACCTTTCTCCTTTCATGTCCTTTCACGTCCGGTCACTTCATCCCTTTCTGTCTTTTGCGCGCACTGGCCCTGCCCTTAGCGAGCACGTGCACTTTTACCTTTGAACTAGGTTGAAGGTGGCCCAGGGTTTGACAAGAAGGTTTGGCTCATCCGTTGTCCCTGTGCACTGTGCACTTGGTTCCCTTTAATCGCAACCGCCTACCTTTTGTTGCTTTCGTGTCTCTCCTTCATGTCTTTTCATCTGTCGCCTTCTTGCGTACACATTTGCACTTAAGTTTGCCGGACTTGGAAAGGCCTATGTGTTCATACCTTGGCATTGGCGTATTTAGTTTGACGGACTTGACTGGTGATCCAACGAAGAGCATTGCATGTGTAGAAACATTGCCCATGGCTGCATTCTCTACATTCACAAGGAACTTGCAACAAAATGAGATCAATGTCAGGAAAATAGACTCAAAGTGAGGGGTTCATGTAGGTTTTGGCACAAGATAGCACAAGACTCCACATGTGATCAATGCGTCAATACAACTCTCTGTTTAGAAATGGTCTCAGGGTGTGTGTGCCATCTACTCTGAAATCGCTTGACTATCAACCTTTGTTTTTCGCCCACGGATAAACCATTCATGCGATGGAACCTCGGATATGCTTTTACTTGGACTTTACTCTGCTCAAGAACCTGATGACCTGCTAACATGACCTCAGGCCAGCGGAATGATCCAATCCAGGCAGGGTCGAAGAGGCTTCAGCCACGAGGCACAACAGCTGGAAAGAGAGCCCGGTGGTCCTGCAGTGGTCCTCCCTTTGGCGCAGCTGTGCTGACCGTTTGACCATGTCTGACCTAAGGCTCGTGCATGAATCTGACTCAGAATTTACCCTTAAAACAAAAAAACAAAACCCCTAAATCCTAAACATCCTCTTCATAGGCAGTTGCCCGCGACTAGCTCACCCCTATAAACATCTGAAGATCTCTTTCAAACCTTTCCGGACCCACCCATAAAGTGCTGCGAACATGTCTGAATCAGATATCCATCCTGTTCCAACCACGCCAATCGTGGACCCTGCCGCTTCCTGGTGCCGAGCGTGCTGCGTTCGCCCGTGGAGTTGGTGCGACGCAGGCGATGGCAACTCCAGTGCCAGGCATTCAAGCTGGTGCTGGTGGAGACGTTCGTGGCAAACAAATGTAAATGCCCAGTGCACCCAGAAGCAACGAAACTCTTCAGGCAATCCAAGTGCCACTGCCTTGGGTGGCTTCGGTGGAGAATGGGATGAACAGTGATGCCGGTGAGAATATATGTATAGTCTAGTTGTGTAAATGAATGAGATGGCCCTTATAGATATCCTTTACGGAGCAGGCAAGATTCTAGCATTTGCCAAAAAGTGCTGCAGTGAAGAGCAACGGAACGTCTTGTTGCTGCAGAATCTGGAGGACTCGTGCTTGATTGTAGCCTGCAAAGTTGTTCATCCATCTGGGTCTTTTGATCATGAGGCTCCCCGGACCAGTTGGTCCGCTTTCAGTCGCCCTACCCGTCGCTGAAAAAACACACGCCCGTGCGGCCATGCGATGAGCAATCCATCAAGCACATGGTTCGCATCTAAACCCAAGGACGGTGGATGTTCAGACTTCCACCTTTAAAATCCCTCTCTGTAAGCGAAGGGCTCAACGGTCGACACCGGGTGTCAGCCCGACACCGCCCTGCCACATCGCCCAAAATCTCTCTCAACAGTCATGCAGGTCATACGAAGTCATGTCAAGTGACTTCAGTAGACAGTTGATGAATAGTAATGGGATGAATAGACGTCCCCCAATGGAGACTTTTCATCCCATTGTCAGTTGATGAATAGCCCCCCCTATGGAGATGAAAAGCAATTCTGGCAATGGGATGTAGTGGAGAGATCTTGATCCGCTGCAGCAGTCCCAGCAGTCCACGAGCGGAGGTTCAAGCCGGGAACATCCAGTCTCGACCGTTGACCCGAAAAAGTGAAAGACGACCCGAATTCTGCGGTCGCCCTGAATTCTCGGGTTGCACCTGGGGGGGGTCCGCATGCAGGACACGTGAGGCCCCCGCGAGCGCTGCTGGTCGTGGACTTGTGGAGGATGTCGTCAAGCGAAATGAAAAACATAGACATATATGGATTGGGTCTATCCTATTACCTGGAACAGTGGATGATGATGGTTAGGTTGCAGGCCCTGTTCAAACATAGTGATGTTCTTGTTTACTGACTGTTCCAGGTAAGAACGGACAGACCCAATATATGGAAAATACTTGGGCACAGCACATCCGATGAATCAACTGACTTGTGATGTACTGTTGATCTGAGTCCATCGCATTCCCCCGGTCACTCTTCTCAAAAACGCATGCTGCATGCCTGCTCAAACGTTCAGAATGTGGCCACTCGGCACAGATTTCACCTGTGGAGTGCAACGTTGGAAGGGTTCCCCATGTTGAAGTCCGAATCAAACCACCGGATATCCTATAAACACCCCATAATGTAATATAAATATGCACCAGTGTGAACATCGGAGGATTCAACATCCTCTTGGACCATCTTGGACCAAGATTGTATACTCTTGGTGGCCCCGCAGGCTCACAAGAGTTCCGTGGCAAAAGGGCACATTTTGCGAGATTCTGTCTGAAATTCCGGTGATTGGATTGCATGCGGCTTATACCCAAGAAAACAAAGCATGGGACTTGCAAAATCAAGTCTGCTGCCTTGTAAAGACAAGCTTTCGAACTCAAATCGGGCAGTCATCCGGTCTGATTCCACTGCAACCACCAAAAGGATCGAACATCTGATAGGCAAACTAGATGATCTCAAGGTAAAGGATCTCACATGACCAATGAATTTCACCTTCCGCCTTCCCTCGCTTCGACCTTCCGTTTGTTTCTGGGTCTCTTTAGTCTCCTACCCCGGCACAACCAATGGGTTTTGGTCTATTTCCCTTCTTCCAGGGAGTGTTTGGGAGGTCTCCCTATCTTAACTATTACACACCCCCCTGATCCCAAATGAATGTGCCTCGCACTCCTTGGAGAGAAGCTCGGACTGAACGCAGGAGCTCAAGCCTAGCGCCGTCCACGGTGCTAACGCCGCCACGGCTTGGCGATGGTTCTCAGGTCCAAATCCCGGTGCTGAGTATGGGATGATACGGAAACTGAGTCTGAAGCTGAGTGTTGCTGGGAGTACCTGACCTTCCATTCATTGCCTCATGCCCGGACTGGAGATGATTGACAGGTGAAGAACTTGTTCCTGTGCAAAATTGTCTACCTCCAACATCATCTTCACAGCGATCCTATTCATTCTGGGATCCCAACTCATCTGCCCTGCTTATGGCCGGGTGCCACCCAGGATGATGGGGAAACAATTGATCGGTTGTCCTTGTGATGACACTGTTTAAGGAAATCGTCACTCAAAATCTTTCTGGCGGGGGAAGATCAGCATTTCAACACATGGTTGGTTCCACCAGCCAAACATGAGAAGGATGTTCCCGATTCTATAAATTCTTCCAGGACCCTCCAATAATTTCACCCCAGTAATTATTGGGACACCTGTCCATAAACAAGGTCACACAAACAAGGTCACGCCGCCATTAGCGGCCTGGGGTTTTGCACAGGGCACCCACTTGCATGTTGTTTGGACCACTGAATTTGTCCCAGTTCAAGTCACACCTTCCAAAACTCTGGTGAAAGAAGTGGATCTGGGTACAGTACTTAAAGTGTTCGGATGCTTTCAGTACGTGGCGCAAGTCTTTGCTGTGTAAATCGAAAGGAAGGCGCATCCGGTCCTTACCCCCTCAACCACGTGGAGCATCGTTTCGCGTGAGCGTCGGAGCGTCGGAGCGAAATGGCGGATTCCGCGTGGACCGATCTTCTTGAAGTGTGGACCAGTTCGAATCTCAACAGGTTCGTGCGCGGACGCAGGACAAAGGGATGCGGAAAC